ATTCATTGCAAATAAATAAATAGACAATATTTAAATATGCAAATAAATATGAATATGCAAAAGTGATTTTTTGTATTTTTATTTTTATGTATGTAAAAATAAGTTATTTAATGTATCAAAAATAAGAAAAATATTATTATTTTTATTAAGGGTGGAAACCCTAATTTGTATTAAGAAAATATATATATATATATATATATATATATATATATATATATATATATATATATATATATATATATATATATATATATATATATATATATATATATATATATATATATATATAATATTATTTATCTATGTACAATAAAATAAATAAAAATATACACAAATGTTAAAAAATAAAAATATGTGAGAAAATATTATTTGAGTGTATAAATAATAAAATAAAAGTATATGATATTTTTTGTACTATTTATGAGTTTTTATTAAAGAAAATAAAAGTATATTATTAAAGTAATTATTTTTATGTTAGAAAAATAATAAAAATAATAAAATAAAATATAAAAATTTATGAAAATATTTTTGGTAATTTTTAATATTTAGGAAAATAAATAAAAGTCAGAAACTAAAAAAGAAATGAAAAAATATGAAAATATAAAATAATGGGCCAATGGGGTGTGAGAAGCAAGTCAGGGGTGTCAAAAGCAAGGAGAAACCAAGCCCAGCCCACATTGCTTCATCTTCAACCTCTGATCAACAAAAACGCGCGTTTCTTGTTCAAACCTGGAAATCCTGCATACGTGCTCTAAAGCAAAAACTTGCAACATGGAAGTTATAGAGCATAATCACACGATTCTAACCATATAAAAAACTTAATCTAACTCTCAAAGACAAGAGAGAAATTCTCTGGCCCTAATTTCTAACCTAGTTTTTTTAGAAAGTTCATCATTCAAATTCTCCCAGCACAGTTAACTTAAATGAAATCTATGCATATGTACAGCTTAAGGGCAATGAGTACTACATTTTTTATTCACAAACCTAAGCCTAATGTTTCCTAAATAGAGAGATAGAAGTTTGAACTTTACCTGTTTCAGTTGAGCTCGGGTATGGCAATGGGGGGGTTTTCAGTGAGGCCTGAGATGCTTGTGATCTTACTTGAACTTCCTTTGACCTTCCCCAATGCTTAGTTTGCTTTGAACTTGCTTGAATAAGCTTGTAGAAGTCAACCTGCACAGTCAGAATTCAAAAATGGTGAAGCTTGAAAACAAGGTTACAGTTGCTGGCTAATGGTTGGGATAGCTTAGGTGTGTTGTTTAGAAGGTGTTTGAAGTGGTTGCAAGCAAAACGCACGAGTGGATTTTGCTTTGGATGTCAAAATGCAGAAGCTGCCCTATTTTGCAAGATTTTGGTGTTTTGGTGTTCAAGGGTGTTTGAGGACTGGCTAGCTCGTGTTTATGAACTTATGCAATATGCAAAAGTTGTTTGAAATGGTTACAACCCTTGGTTTTATCAGATGCCAAAGTTATGTGGTTTTTGCAAGTTTACTTGGTTTTGAAGAAAAGTGTGAAGTGATCAAGCAAAGAGCTTGTACAGGCCTCCTTTCTAGCTGCACAAAGTTGTTGTACTTTGCCCTGAGTTTGTGGAGTTGGTATGCTGCAGAAAGCTTGGTGCAATGCTCAAGAGAAACAAATTGACATAAAGCCAACTTTACCAAAGTGGCAATGCTACCTTTTTGCCATTTTTAGATTAATTCAATGTGTAAACTTCTAAAGATCAGAACAATGCCTTAATCCATTGAGTTTGCATTCAATTTTTGAGTGTGTAAGGGTTTAAAGACCTGTAAGCAAGTACAAGCAAGGCTGGATAGAAATTGCAACTTGTAGCAACATGAGAAATGCCATGGATCAAAGTGACATTTTGCCAAATTCAAACCTTCGATTCTCCCTAACCACAAATGATTTTGGAGAGTTCTTGGACATATTGGAAATCTTGTAACATGCTCTACAATCCATATATGAAATGAATTTTGAGATTCTAATTGGAACTAGGTGAAAAATTGCCATGAAGATAGGTCAAAATCCTGCCTAAACTGGGGCAAAATTTCACTAAGTTAAAAGTTTCATGGACCCTTGTTCACAAAATCATAACTTGAGATCCAAGCATCTTTTGGGAAAACTTTGTGAATCAAAGTTGTAGATTTTGTGGTGGACTACAACTTTCATGTTGGAAGTTTTCTTTGAATCCAATTGTATCATGGTGAAAAAGTTGGGAAAAGTTGGGGAAAAATAAGAAAATTTCGTAACTTAGAAAATTTCTAAGTTATGAAATTTTTCAATCTTAAACCCTAATTTGTAAAATTAGGTTTCTTGATGAACAAGTTTCATGTTTTGAAACATCTTGATGAAAAATGACCCTTGGCACTTGATTTTGACCAAAAAGTCAAAGTTTGACTTTTCAGTGTACAGTTGATTTTAGATCAGTTGACTGGAAAATTCATCTATCAATCCAATGCTTTTGAGATCTTTTGAACCTTGTGAATAGGTCAAGATAATGCCATTGAGTCCTTGAATCTATGCTTGAACCCAACTTGCCATTGGCTAGGTTAAAAATCAGAAATTGCCTTTTTGCAGTCAAAACCCTAAAAATGACCATTTTGTCCTTTTCATGATCTGATCAAATTTCTTGAGGAGTTGTGGTCCAAACTTGATAAAATGGTTCATATGAGCCTATAATGTTGACGTGGATCAAAAATTATGAGGTTTGACTGTAAATTGGCCACAGTTGACTTTTTCCCCAATACAGCTGATTTCCAGGTCAACTATCCAATTGACTGGGCAAAAATTTGATTTAAGGCTTGAAACTTGGTATGTGTAATCTTATAAGTGCAACATGAAGTATGAAAGTTACTTTGAGCATTGAAAGTCCAAAAGTCCCTATGCAAACTCAAACCCTAATTTCAGGTCAACAGTGCAAGGAGATGTCTTGAGCAGAGCAAACCCTAATCCTGTATGGAGTCCAAAGAGTCGTGTGAGGGGAAATTCTGATAAAATGAGAGGGCAAATTTTGGGGTACAATAGACACCAACAATCACTGAAGCATCGCTCACTCTAACAAAACAAATCCTATCTGCATGCATTCTAGTAAAGAAAAAGCTAAATCTAGCTCAAAAAGGAGTGAAACAGAAAACTTACGTGGTCAGAGAGATTAAAATTATGCCTGAATGCTCTGTTACAGCAGAGGGCGACGACAGCGGAAAATGAAGCAAAGATCAGAGAGAGCGAAGAAGAGAGAAAAGAGAAAAATGCAAATGTTTCTCGTGACTTTCCTATTTATAGAGGGTTATCAAAGAACTTGCACGCACACACACACGACCTAGGATAGCGTAGGTGTCATCATTAAACCTTAGCCTATAGGATGACATCATTACACATTAACTACAACACGTGGCTCAATGCCGGCGTGAAATGCAACCTCTCGAAATCCAATCACCTATTTGGCTCCCCGCGCACCGAACACAGGAGACGACAGTTTTTTTTCCTCGCACGAACATGTTCTCGGGAAACCCACGAAATGTCCCCGTCATGAACAACAAGCGTTGGGTGCATGATTCTCTCCTCAACACACGAGCTGACTCTAAGTCATTACACCTATTCCTAAGAGCAACGACTTTGAGGCTCTTGTTCTGGTCTGGTCCAATGACTAAGTATGGCCCAATCTACTTCTCCTGTTAATATGACCCAATAGCTTTGGCCCAATCAATTTGGACAAATGACACTTTTCACTTCTGCCCCTCAGGAGGGGACGCATGGTCGGTTGCCCCTTGGAGCGAACAAGACCACCACTGCCCTTAAACCGTACATATGCCTGTCACTCATAAAGTAACCACTTAGGAACAACCATAGCACGCATGCTCGCAACTATGCCCCTGCTCAAAGCAACAACTAGTTTTGAGCAATCTTCCTGTCATAACGCCTAGTTCTTGACAATTATCGATATTTGGGGACCTGATATCCAGGTTCAAAAATAAAAATTAATGGTCAAACGCCGGGGGCACTAACACTATATAAACCCTCACTCTTATGAGGGTCAGGTATTGAATATTCACTCCAAAACTCTAAACTCTCTCTTGTATCTTTTTGTACTCTTACTTACTTGAGCGTAAGAGTAGGCACACTCTTCCTCCTTAATTCCAACTTTACAAACACAAAAATCAATCCAGATTCTAATCATCCGTAAGATGAATAATTTTTTTAATTAATAACTTAATAGATGTGTTATCTTTTAGAAAATACTAACGAATATTTTAGAGTATTTTTTAATGGTTTAAAAATTATTATTTTTTAAAATATATATTATTAGAAATTAAAATAATAATAATTTTAAAATATTTTTTAAAATAAAATAGTTTTTTTTTTAATATTATTTTTTATATTATTATCAAATGAATTTGTATTAGATAAAATAAAAAATAAATATTGTTGAACATGCTTTTGTGGACTATGAGTTTAAAATTTAATAAAATAAATTAAAAGAAATAGTAATTATGTATAAGAAATATTCCTTCTAATTATTATTATAAATACAAATATTTTTTAAAATTTATTAAATAATTAATGTAATCTATATAAAAATTAAATATATAAATTATTTAATAAATTTAAAAAGAAAATTTATATTTATAATAGTGAACAGAAGATACGTGTGAGAAGGGTCTTGATGAGGGTCTTGATGATTTGTTAACTGTGAGAGAGCCACCACCTTATAGTCTACGTGGCTAAATTTATCACCACTGATACATCTACATCATAATAATCACTAGCCTCACCCCTCACTATTTAATACCTATACCCTCCCTATATATAAATTGCCACTAGTATTTTCCATCTTTTATTACCTATTAAACCTTTCTGCCACCACTCAACACAAAATTGCAGACACCCTTTATGGTATCTAACTTCAGTCATTCAACAATCTAGATCATTCTATTGCATTATATATTATATACATTTTCATCAAATATATATAGTGGTGAAATTACATTTATATCCTTAGATATGGGAAGAGCACCTTGTTGTGAGAAAGTGGGTTTGAAGAGAGGAAGATGGACTGCTGAGGAAGATGAAATTTTGACTCAATATATTAAAGCTAATGGAGAAGGTTCTTGGAGATCATTACCCAAAAATGCAGGTTTTATTTTTTTTCTCTTAAAATACTACTATTAATATTTTATTTTTCTTGACATTCTATTTTTGGGTTTTGAAGGATTGCTTAGATGTGGAAAAAGTTGTAGATTAAGATGGATAAACTATTTGAGAGATGATCTCAAAAGGGGAAATATTTCTCATGAAGAGGAAACTCTCATTGTCAAGTTGCATGCTTCTTTTGGCAACAGGTAATTACCATATGGGTTTTTTCATATGTTTGCAATGTATTTTTATGACATTCTAAAAGAATGATCTAATTTTTTGTTGACAAAAACATGAAAAATTTATCATATTGCTATATTTCTCTCTTTTTTTTTCCCTCTCTTTTATACAATACCATTTAAATATTTTATTTTGCAGGTCAATTACTTGATCTCCAATATACAATCTTATTACAATTTATTTCAATTTTGATGTATTTGAGAAAATGTGTATTTTATTTCTATATAGTTCCTAATGGTTTCAACATTGCCAACATATTTTCAAATTTAAATTTCTCTATATATATTTAAAAATATTTAATCAACTTTTTTTATTAATCCTATAACAGTCAACCGATTTTTTTTAATTAATTGTAATATTTAGAAATTTTATTAACAACACGGGGAACAATCTCAAAATAAATAAACTATAGAATATAGATATTAAAACCTCACGACTACTAAATTTTAATAGTAAAAGACTTGAGAACGATAATATATTTTTTGTTTTATAAAAATATAAGGATTTTCTTGAAAATACAATGTGATGTATATAATAGATTCTTGAAATATTTATTTTGAATGAAAATTATAAGAAGAGTGTTATTTTGAAGTTCAATATTTTATACTGTATCTGAATTCGTATATAAATTATATATTAATGTTTTTATCTCTCTCATATTTTTCTATTTTGTACATTTATACGAATTTTAATAATATATTGTTACACTTAAAATTACATTTGATATTTTTTTGACACAAATTTAAATGTAAAAATATTATTTTTCAAAATATAATTTATTATATATATAAGATTTTCTGGAAATACTATATTTTTTTATGAATTATATTAATTATTTTTTTTATCAATGATATCTCTAATTTTTTATAATTTATAATAAATATTTTATAAAAAATATCAGTTATTAATTTACTCTGATATACGACGTGACAAGGAGTTATTGAATAGCTCAACATTTTATTTAATATTTAATAAAGATTGATGAGACAATGCATGGATCTCGTGTTTTGGATATAATATATAGTATATACTTTTTTTGGGCAATGAATATAACATACTTTTGTCACAGTCGAACGTAATGTTCAGCACCTTGAATAACGTTAAATACTATTAATGTTGTCATGTCAAAATAGTCAAAATAATGCTCTTTTGCCACTCTAACCAAATTTAAAAAGAAACAATCTCTTTTGCCAGTAGACTATAGTTTCATATTACTACTATTTTAAGATTTTAAGATCGCATTTTATTGAAATTTTACTTAACATTGAGAATATTTTTCATCATTTTTTTGTAACTTCAGGTGGTCTTTGATTGCAAGTCACTTACCAGGAAGAACAGACAATGAGATTAAAAACTATTGGAACTCTCATTTGAGTAGAAAAGTTTACACTTTCCGAGGAACAACAGCCAAAAATTACGATAATATTAAAGAGATTCCCTCACAAAGAATCTTAGTTAATACACCTCCCAAAAGAAGAGGGGGTAGAACTAGCAGGAAGGCTATGAAGAAGAATAAACACTATACTCAAAAAGTTTTGGAAAGCCCAAATGGACCTTCTTCTAATGGCAAAGACAGCGTGTTGGGACAAGATCCAAATCCAAAGGCTATTATTAATGACGATGATATTATTATAGACACATGTAAGGTGGAAAAAGAAAAAGAAAAAGAAAGGGAAAGTAATGATGATATGGTGGTAATTAATGAAAGAGTTGGGGACAAAGGTACAAGTACTAACATGTTGAGAACTGAGAATAATAGTGTGACAAGTTCGAATGATTTAAGTTTTGATGATAACTTGGATTGGGATAGTGTTTTGCCTTTGTTGAATCACAAAGGACAATCTTTGTCATGGGAGCTAAGTGAAAACATGTTAACTTGGTTGTGGGAGGATGATGAATGGGATAAGGTTTTTTCACAAGGATAGAGAGATTCATCATCGGAACCTAAATGCTATGTTTTCTTGGTTTTAATCTTGAAGCTAAGTTAATTTTAGAACTTAATATTTTTTAATTTTTAGCTCTTGAAAATCTTTTTGGATGTTAAAATAAATAAATAAAAGCAGAATACTAGTACCTTCTATTTTAAACAAAATAGTGTGTTTCCAAGTCATTTCTAAATCAGTCAGACGTTAATTTTAAATGCATTTGGAAATATATTTTCGAACATTTTTAAATTTTTAAGAGATAAGACAAGCCATTAAAGTCGAAAAGAACATTTCCCTATTAGGGCCTGCCATAAATGTGTTAGAGTAGATACAAAGATATACACGGTGCATGATATATGAAGGATATGGAGTGCATGATTAATCTACACCAAACTCTCAATTTGTAGGTGTTTCAAAGTTATGTCTTCAGACAATAAAAGAGAAGATTGGTAACATTTTTTTCAAATTGAGTGAGGATAGGTCACTGAGCTACCATTTCTTGCCCCTTCCTTTTAACAGGTTACGGCTGGTTTTTTATTTGAACAGGGTGTTCACTTTTTATATTGTCACATCCTTAAGTTTGGGCAATAGTGATTCAAAGTTGGTTATAGGTCCTGGGATTGTTTTTCCCACCATCAATTGTGGAGAAGCTTTTCCCTAATATTTCAAAAACTGAATTGGTAATTAAACTGACGAGAAAATTAGATTATTGATTTATTGGTTAAATAAGAGAAATGTTATATTCATACACTTAAATAATATATTACACCGTATTTTATTGTTCACTTGGTGAATAATGAAATATTATAATATTAAAATATTTTAATATATATATATATATATATATATATATATATATATATATATATATATATATATATATATATATATATATATATATATATATATATATATATATATATATATAATTTTTTAATTTTTTTTGTTTTATTTGTTTTTATAATTTCATTGAGCATCATTTTATGTTTTATTAATTAACTTTATTTTATTATTAAGTATTATTAATCAATTTTATTATTTTATTAAACAATTTTGTTTTACAACTTAAAATAATTTTTAATATCCGACGTTTATTAACTAACTTCATCACTTCATTAATCAACTTTTTACATTTCATTAATCAATTTTATTTTATCATTAAACGTCACTGTTCATATACTATTCATAGATACTGTTCACTGAAACTATTTGTGTTACTGTTCGCGTCACTATTTATAAATATATATTTTTTATTTAAAAAAAATTGTTCACCGTATAAATACGGTGAACAGTGTTTAGTGTAAGTATTTAGTGTACACTTTGAGTATAAGAATAACATATCTGGTCAAACAATTGGTCGAACTGCATGACAAAACAAAATTAAGTCAGATAACTCGATTGAATAAACTGATTTTATAACAAAACTATATAATTGTTAAACTAGTCAGACTAGATGACTCTATCTATAAAAATTACAACACTGCAAAATTTAAGACATAGTCATCATACACAATAAAATAGTACAAAATACAAATTTAAATAAATTTTGAACAACTGTAATTACAACATAAACTGAATAAATTTAATTTCAATGAAGAGAAGTTGTTCCAAATAAGTTTTGAACAAAGTTTACTTATATTTTAATTTTATTTTTTGTAAAATCATCAAAACGACATCATTTTTTTGAGAAAAAACAAGCATTTAACCCATCGATTTTTCCAAACCGTCGGTTCGCCAGTTTTTAGTGGTTTTTGGCCAGTTCTTACTAGTTCAATAGTTTACCTGATCCAACAATCAGATCATACCGATGATTCTTCTGGTTCCCGATTCGACTAGCCGGTCCAGTCTGATTTTTAAAATATTATTTGTCTCATCCTTAGTGGTGGAGAAGCACTCTAAGAAAATTCGAAAATGTCCATACGAATTCGGAAGTGCATTTTCGGACGCACCCATTTCACACTAAATATTTTCGTAAATGAGTCGCACCTCTTTATTTGAATGAAAACATTTCAGAAATGTACTTATGTATTCACCCTATATGTACCTCATGCATTCCTAAGTGACACCCTCATTTTGACATGAATTGATTTGAAGATGCATCTATGTATCAAATATGGATATACACTGTATTCATCTAATATAATAGTTTTTGACATTTTTTAGAAATACATTGATGTATTAGATCATGTATGATAACTATACTATCATAATAAATATTTTATAAATTAAATCACACACTTATCAAATAAGATGAAAATGCAATATATAAATGAATCAATCTTGAATACATAATACAATCAAAATAAATTAGAAACAATAATATTATCCCTAATACAAATACTATATTATTGAGTATGTAAGACACTGTGATACGGTGGGAGAACAGACTTGAGGTTTTGCGTTTGTGTTTGCAAATGTTACGGTTTAGCAAGAGTCGCCACCGACTTTTATTTTATCCAAAAAGGAAAGGTGAAAAAGCACAGGAAAGACCTTTAGAGATGTTTTCTTGGATTCGGGGGGTAGATTATAAAAAGGGAACGTGTTAGCACCCTTTTCATCTATGGTTTTCCATGGGCTCTTAGTTACTCGCTAGATCACTTCCTTTTGTCTGAATGTGTTTTGTGTGGTTTTGAAAGTATTTTGAAAATGCAACTTTGTAATGATTCTCGTTTCTATAAGAATGTATACAAAGTTTTTATTTTGAAAATAGTTCAAAAGGTGTTTTGTGGGATGTGTTTTTGAAAGTGATTTTAAAAGGGTTTTCTTTGTAATGGCTCTCGTCTCTATAAGAACACGTACAAAGTGTTTGTCTTTTAAAAATGTTTCAAAATGAGAGTGTTGGTGTATAAAATGATTTATTGTGAGAAAGCGAGCAACTAAGAGCGAACCTACCTACTCGAAAGGTCTTAAGTGTGCTTTTTTTACCTTTCCTTTGGATGTGGCTTATCTTACCATTGATTTGGTAGGAAGCCTCATCGTTGGATGTGAAGGCACGAGTATAGGGACATTTGTATAGTCATAGAAGGCAACTCATGGAACGTTTTAGCAATGTCGTTTTAGGGACTAGATCGTTTACTGAAGGCAACATCGAGGATCATCGAGGGACTATGATCTTTTATCGAGGATTTTTGCTAAAACGCCCATGTTTGAGGGACATGACTATTTTTTCGATAGGCAACGAAATGGGATTACCCTAAGGGTGTTTGTGTGAAAATGTGTTTGATTGCATGCATTTTAACCTTGATTAGGGTTGTCTATTTTTTTGTTTTCATGTCTTGCCATACATCCTATTTACTAGCAATATATGAAAAGCAAGTAAAATGCGGAAAATAAAATCTAACCTATTACATCGCTTTAGGGGGGATGGGGGTACATATTTATGAATGGGGGTTGCAAGTAAAATTAAATCCTAAGTCACTATTACAATCATATCGAAATGGATCAGAATGTGCAAGAAACGAAATTACTTATTTATTTAAGAAAAGAAATAAGTTTGCTTAAGAAAATATTTTTGGTCTTTTGTTTTAAGAAATAAAGTAAAGCATGAAAAAAAAATATTTTTAGTGTTTGTTGATTAATGAAATAGAAAGTGATAGCAAAAATAATGAGAAAAAGGAAAAAAGGAATCAGCGTATTACTGATTAAGGGAGGTCAGAAGTTCTGACTCTGGCGCACTGCAAAATAGAAATCTTGTTAGTAGAGTCAGAAGTTCTGAGTCCACTGGGAGTACATTAGCTTTCAGAAGTTCTGATACCACCGAAAACATAGTTGGTTTCAGAAGTTCTGATACTACCAGCAACAAAGTAGATTTCAGAAGTTCTGATATCACTGGCAGAACTTGGTCTCTCTCTCCATGATAGTCAGAACATCTGCAATTTGGTTATTTCTCCACAAAACAGAAGATGTGCATATGACAGTTATGGCAGGTTTCATAGCATTTCAGAAACAAGAAATATCAGAACCATAAATCAGAGACAAGTGTGAATTTTCTAATCCTAATTCTGAGTTCTAATTTCTTTCAGAAGTTATGAAACTGATTTATTCCATACTTAGGCAGGCAAATACGTGAAGCCTTAGAATATGTATAACATTAGAAACATGATGTCTACATTGTGTTTTTGAACATGCAAATCTGATAATGCTTAGGCAACGTGATAAAAGTCAGCAGGAGCTTACCTTGCAGCTGGAAAAGATTCTATGAACTGGAGGTTGGTCCTGGACTCTGGTGATGTTCTGAGCTGCTTCTTCACGTACTCAGCAGGATGGAAGCTTTCAACTTCTGGAACAGCCAAGGGGTGATATTTTGACTTCTTTGAGGTAGAGGTGAATGGAGAGTGTATGACAGTGGGAATACAAAAGTTGGAATAGCTTCTAGTATGTGAATCAGAAACTGTGGGGATGGTTTTAGTCAAGGAACAATGGAGTTTTGATGCTAGAATCAAATGTTAAGGTTTTGGTGTTTTGGTGTTTACAGCTTTTCGGATTCTTGGAATTTTGTAAGGATTCCAGGTTTTTTCTTTCTTTTAGTGATTCTCTTTCTCCAAAAACCAACCCTTTGAACGTGTGATGGAACAAACTATTTATAGATGGATTTGTTGTGGTTTTGGGGGGAAAAACAAATGAGTTTTTAAACATTTTTGGCATACTGCCCCTTTGTTTTTAAATTACAGTTTTCGTAGGCTAATTTGGTGCAAGAAAAACGCAGGCGTGGACTGGATCAGCAACACCTTAGAGTGTTGTGGCAGCTGGTTGCAGGACTATGCCATAGCAGGGCAGCAGGTTACTTAAACGAGGTTTTGGTGATGTTCTGATCACAAAATATCAGAAGCGTGACCTCCAAATGCTGAAGGGGAATCTTCTGACCGGAGCGTTGAACATAGCCTCCATATGTTGAAGAATCATGTTCTGACTGAAGCATTATGTTCTGACCAAAGAGTAACGCTTCTGCATGTTCTGATTGAAGTGTTATGCTCTGAGCCGTATTTGCAACTTCTGACGGC